CCCACTCCCCCCATCCCTTGCATTAAGGACTCGAGAGTAATGATATTTGCCTGAATGAAATATATTGTGAGTCGTTATGCAGTGAATGTTGTTATACAAAACAAAAAAAAAGCATAATTATTAAGAATATATATAAAACAATCTGTTATTTTTAAAAAGTTGAGAGATCATTTTAAAAAATTCCAACCAAAGAGAATTAAACGCGGAAAAATGTTTACATTGTTTTGACCTAAACACTAATATAGTAAATCATTCATCAAGCAAAAATGTTAAACATTATTCTAATTTTTTACCTTTTTCCAACAATAAACATGGCAACAAGAATAACCAAAAACTCCTCCACTTTTCTTGATAACATTTTTTTTTTTATTTACTTAGGTTCCCCAAAATGACAAAACAGTCTTGTCAAAAAACACCGCGGAATTGTATTTAACCAGAAAGTTCACGCCTCTTTTCTTACCGTGACGCGAAAATACGCCCAAGACTCTTTTTGAACCTTTTTTTTTTTTAGTGTAATTTATTTCGCCGTTAAAAAATTTTTACATTGCATATACATTTTTATAAGTTGATGGCTGGAGCAAGAAGAAGGCACATTTCGCCTTATCGCCGAGCCCCATTAAAAATTCTACATAACCGTAACATACAAATATATATATAAAAGAAACAATTAGAAATGAAATAGAAAATAACTAATATAATAAAAAAAATAAAAAATAAGAATTAATTAAGAAGCGTTAAGATGCTTAACAGTTGCTAAAATGTTTAAGAAATAAGTTAATATATATAAAAAAAAAAAAAATTCCTGAATATAAAAGAAACTGAAAAAATAAAATCTCATAATTAACACTAAATGAATATGTAACATCATCACTTATGACATCATCACTTGTGACATCATCACTTGGATTTCTTATTCTTTTTTTTTTTTTTTTTTTTTTTTTTCTTTTTTTCCTTTTTCTTTCTTTTCCTATTCATATTATCATATATCATTGATATTATTGAATCTATTTTTTTTTATTTTTTTTTATTGTGTTTTCTTTAAAATAAACATTTAAAGTCGGATTTATTGAGATCCATGAACAATAATAATCGTTTTGATTCATCCTTAAATTGCCCTAATGTAGTCTGCTTTTTGTTAATGTAATATTTTTTTATGATTTAAACTGCCATTATAAACAACAATCATGACATTGTTGGTTAACGGGAATTTAATATATCCATACATTAAGGGGGAAACTCCCTCTAAAATCATCAAAAAAACAAAAATTTAGTATGACCGTTTTTAGACATGAAAATTACTATAGATTTCATTTATGTAATTTGTTTTTCATAAAAATCATTTTAAAGTGCAGAAATTTAAGGTTTTTTAATGGTGAGTTGATGTTTCGATATATCGAAAGTGTAATTTTTTTGTCGTATTTGAAAAAAAAAAAAAAAAAAAAAAAAAAAAGCTGATGTAAAATGCCTAACTTGGGTTAGGATGCTTCATTCTATTATACTTCTTGTTCAGCTAAGCAAAAGTAAGCGAGATTAGGAGACAAAACGCACTCATACTAATTTAATTTAATTTAACAAGAATGCCAAAAAGATGTAGAGTAAAACGTCGAACTAATCTTGCTAGGAAAAGGTGTAGATCTTTTCCAGTTAAAAAATCATTAATTTATGATGAAGAAGTTGTTGTTGATAGTGTAAATAAAGACTCTACTCCAATTGTAAATATTTTAATTAATAATGAGACTGTGGTTCACTGTCTGAGTGATGAAAATAAAAATGACGCTTCTGATAATATCGTAAATATTCCAGCATCACATTCAAAAATACGACAAATTGATGTAGTTGAAACTTCTACTCTACTGTCTGGATATAGAATTATAGATATAGAAGTATTATCTGTTGTTTTTAAAAAACTCATTTGTTCAATGTGCTTCAATGAAGACTCTCTTGTGTTGTCTGACAACTTAAAAGATCGACATGGACTTGCCTCTTTTTTAGTTTTAAAATGTTCAGATTGTTTATTTCGTAAAAAGTTTTGTACTTCAAAAAAAAGTAGTTAGTAGGATATGAGATAAATAAACGAGCTATTTACACAATGCGGTTGTTGGGTCATGGTCACGCAGGACTTGAAAAATTCACTTCTTTAATGAATATTCCTCCGCCAATGACTAGAAATAACTACGACAAGCTTGCTAAAACAATCTCTAAAGTTGTGAAAAAAGTAGCAATAGAAACTATGTGTGATGCTGCTGCGGAAATCAGACACAATTCGAATACTGATATTGTTGATACTGGTGTTTCATGTGATGGGACATGGCAACGACAAGGTTTTTCATCATATAATGGCGTAATGACTGCAATATCTATTGATAGTGGAAAGATATTGGACGTAGAACCAATGAGTAGAATTTGTAAAGCTTGTATTTTAATGGAACCAAAAAAGAAAAGTGAACCTTTACATTTTGCTGAGTGCATAAGTGTGCATATGACTACAAAGGGTCTGCTGGGGGTATGGAGCCAATTGGTATAAAAAAATTATTTGAACGTTCTATTACAGAACGCAAACTTCGCTATGTAAACTATTTAGGTGATAGGGACAGTAAGAGCTATTTTAATGTTATGAATGTCTACCCTGGTTTGGAAGTAAAAAAACTTGAGTTTGTTGGACATTATCAAAAACGTATTGGTACAAGATTAAGAAAGTTGAAGAAAAAAACTAAAAACCTTGGTGGTTTTTAGTTTTTTTCAATTTTAACAGATGCGACAATTGATCGGTTGCAAAGTTATTTTGGTATTGCAATCAGAGCTAATTTAGGAGATTTAGCATCTATGAAAGCTGGAACTCTGGCATCGCTTTATCATGTTGCCTCCAATAAGGAGAATAATCTACATTTTCCACATTGCCCAGTAGGAGCTGATAGTTAGTGCAAATATAATTCAGATAAAGCCAATGAAACAAATACTTATAAACCTGGACCAGGTTTACCAATTTCTATTGTTTATAAAATCAAACCAATCTTTGCAGAACTCAGTGCTGACCAACATTTGGAAAAGTACTTACATGGTAAGACACAAAATACTAAAGTTTTAATTGTACTATCTGGGAGCGTTTACCTAAAACGAAATTTGTATCATTTAGTCAATTAGAATTTAGAGTTTATGATGCAGTAGCTAATTTTAACATTGGTCGAAAAGCCTCAATTTTAGTTTATGAATCTTTGGACATAATTCCAGGAGTATATACTCTTAAAGGTTGTAAAAATTTAAACTATAAACGACTGTTACATTCTAAGTACAGAAATATTGATAAAAACAAGTTGCGAAGAAAAATAATTTGTGGCAAAAAACATAAAGAAAAAGAAAAAGAAGGCAAGTTGTATGAAGCAGGAGGTTTCTAATACTTTTTATTAAATATTTTAACTATAGTATGTGTTTTACCTAAAGTTTTAAAGTTTTATGTGCTAATTTTTTTTTCTTTTCGCGTTTTCTCAAAATAGTCTTTTTTCACACGCCGGCCGTTCTATCTCAAGAACCGTTTAACCAATTTTAATGAAATTTTCTGGAGTTGTTTTTATGATTTTGATATTTTGAATAAAAAATATTTTCACCATCTTTAAATGTGCACACATTGCTCAGATATTTAGTTACAGGAAAATGCCGCTATTAAAACACCCTTTGACCATTTGTGAAGCATTTAGTGAAAGCTTTTTAAGAGATCTTGCATGGTTATTTAGTTTTTAAGGCCGGTGTGAATGCATTTTTTGCCCATTTTGATGTGTTTTTTGTGGTAACTATGGCAACCAAAAAACTTTTATTTTTATAACGATCGTTTAATAAAGTTTCATTCGCGGTTTTAGAAACATTTAAACGCGGTGTTTATTAGTCTAAACTTGAAACTGAATTTTTCAAAAAAAGATTAAATGTTTAGTTGGTTTTTATTTAATTCTTTCTAGCTTAAAAAGTAGTTAAAATTCTTTCATTGTTTTTTACTATATTTTCTAAATATTTTAGTTCTCATAAAATAAATAGTTCTCGGTAATTAAAATCGCGGTTAAAAACTGCTACTTAGGGAGAGAGAAAACAAAACTTTTTACAAAAAAAAAATGAAAACCATTTAAAAAAAGTATTTTAACTTCAAATATTTGTTTTAATATTTATTAACATTTTATATAAAAAATTTTGATCGATTAAGTGAAATTTAAAGTCAGTTTAAAATTAAGTAAAAACGTCAGATGAAAATGAAATTTCGAACTAAAAATCTTCGAAGAAAAATTCTACTAAACTATCGAATTTTTTTATTTTGTTGATCTCTCCAAGAAACAAGGGCGAAAACCTTGGAAAGTTATTTTTTTATAAACATAAATTTGTATAAAAGGTATATAAAAAGTGTAAATCTAATAGAAAAAGTTGTTTTATTTAAAATTCAATCAACTTAAAAACTTATGACTTTATCTTAAATACGATATTAGTTGAAAAGAAATTGATAATAAAATAAAAAAAAATTAACATTTTATTTTAATTTGCATATTTAGATTTTTTAATTTAATTCTTAAACATCACAAAACATAAATAAAACATAAAAATATAAATAAAATATTAAACAAACATTTATTACTTATTAAAACAAATATTTATTAACAATATTATTTAAAAAATTATATATTAAGAACATAATAATTAAAAACTGAAAATATAATTAAAAAAAAACAACAACAATAAATCATGTACCGTAATTTTACAAGTATAATATTATTAATAATAATAATATACATGAAAATTTATATACTATAATAATATATTTAATAATTTATATTATAATTATAACTATTAATATATTTGAAAACGAATTATTTATAAAATATTTTAATAGTAAAAAATAAAACTTTTAAATAATAAATCTAATAAACTAGTAAAATTAATTTGTATATTTAAAAACATATTTATTATAAAATAATACATTAAATATTTCATTAGTTATTTATAGTTATTGTTTTTATTTAATATATTTAAGGTATTAAATATTTTTTCGAACAACGAATCCATTCATATAATTCTTTAATAAAATCAATGTCGTCGTGAAGATAAAGATCTAATTCTTCACAAAGATTAATCCACGGAAGAAAATTTTCTTCAAAATCTTTTTTTGTTAAATAATATGAGATCCATATCCTCAACTCTTCAATCTTATCTTTCGGTTTCCATCCTTCGAAATTAATTGGACGATAAAATCTGACATCGCGAACATTAGTTGAACATTGTATTAAAAGTTTTTTTTCTTCATCACTTAAAATAATTTTATAAACATTATCAACATATAAGCTCGATAACTTTCTTCCAGATTTTACGTAATGATTTATGAAATAATTTTCGCAAGAAGTTAAGTAAGAAGTTTTTCCATTGTAAATCGAAATAATCCACCACTCTCCTTGTTCATCAACAATTGATTTAATTTCATCATTAAATGATGATTGACTTTCATAAAAACATTCAATGAATAAATCACGGTCTTCTCTATTATCACTTTTACGTAGACGATCTAAAGTAAAATTAAATATTAATTAGAAAAATGAACAAATAATAAAAATAATAATCAAAATTATAACATTATATACATTATAATATTCTACATATTCACAAATATAATTTTTATTAATTTATGATTGAATAAAAAACATACAATTTTTTATTTTTTATTAAATAGACTATATTTTATACAATAATATTATATACATAAATTTATATTAAATTAAAATAATATATAAAAATAATAAAAGTGTGAAACCTTTAGGTAAAATAATTATTATAAAAAAGAAATATATATAAAAATGTAAAATTTTTAAATTTTGTTAATTTATCATATTATTAAAACAAAATAATTTAAATATAAGTTATAAATTAAACATATTTAAAATAACATAACAAAAATTGGAACGGTTGTTCACACACATAAAAGATTCATAATTATGAGACATTTACACATCAAAATCAACATAATTTCATCATTAAAGCTACAAAATGTAATATATATAATATATAAAAACAAGCAACAAACATAAGATAAACTGATTGAATTTAAAAATTACAATAACATCACATTAAACGACATTTTGTTTTAAAAAGTAAAAACTAAATCCATGTAACAATCATTTCAACGCAAACAAGAAAATAATTCCTAAATCACAATTGTTTCATGTAAATCATATTTCTCTGAAACTTTTAGCAAAAGAAACACAGATTTTTTCTAAAATATTAAACTTAGACGAACGATTAAAAATAAAAGGTTTAAAATGTAATTAAATAATAGCTCAGTATGTTTTAAAATTAGTGTGGCATAGGTACTTGCATACCATTATCATACTGCACTATCTTTTTTGCATACTAAAGTATGCCAAACATTTTTAAAGTAAAAAACTTGTAAAAACGATAAATTCTATGCGACGAAAATATATTTTTTGCAACGTAGAGTTTTTGTGACGTAGGTGATGTCTTAACTTATACTTTATAAAAGAAGAATTTTTTTTAAGGTTTATAAATATGCATTTTTTTTTTTTTTTGCACCACTAACATTTTGAAGGCAAGTTAATTTATTTTTCAACATATTTTCTAAATCTTAATTCATAATATTCTAAATCTATTTTCGATTTTCCTTTCCATATAAAAGAAGAATTTTTTTTAAGGTTTATAAATATGCATTTTTTTTTTTTTTTTGCACCACTAACATTTTGAAGGCAAGTTTATTTATTTTTCAACATATTTTCTAAATCTTAATTCATAATATTCTAAATCTATTTTCGATTTTCCTTTCCATAAAAAAAAGTCACTCTTTCAAACTCAATTATCGCATTTCCAAGAGATTAAATATATAAAAAGTTTGAACATTATAAACACGAATCTATATGCTATATTATATTAAAAAGAATAAGCTTGGGGATAGAAATCAAAATATTATAAAAAATGTTACATTAAATTTAAAGGTTTACACATTTTAGCACTTTAATCTTGTATATATATAATATAATTTAACTAATATATCAACAACAAAAAAATACGTACTATCATCAAATTTACACGAAAAACAGTCGTCGTAAGTTAAGGTTTTGTAGCAATATAAATTTTGTTTTAAAACATAAACCTTTTTAATAAAAACAAATAAACGAATATAAAACTGAAGAATACTTACTTACGAATTTTTAAAAGTATTTGTGACCAGTGTTAAGTTATAAACAATGGTAACAGAATAATTTCGTACTTTTTCCAAAAATATCATCGAGTTTTATATACATAAAACTCGATGATCGAACTTTACAAAAATCTTTTCACAAATTCGAACAAAAAATTTAAATCAACCGCTTAGTTTTATAAAATTATATCGTAACTATAGCAACCGTTTAATATAAAATGAAAGTATTTGTGAATTCACAAAAAAAAAAACGTTTAGATCACGTTTAAAGCTTGATAACACGTCGAATAATAAATTATACATTATTTTATTCAGAAAATAAACTATTAATTCTATTAAGTATAATGATGTGAAATAAATAAAACGAAAAAAAAAAGTAATAAAAAAAAAATTTAGTTACTGTTATTTTTTCTGACGTTATAAACGTAATTTAAACTTAGCGTAATCTAAATATAACGTAATAATAAACCTAATGAAAAACACACACAAAAAAAAATAGTGAAACGCAATAAAAAAGCTAATGAAAAAACCGCAAAAAAAAACTAGTGAAACGCATGTTTTTTAAACAGAATTTACAATTTGTAAATTAATATTAGTATACATATTATTATATATTAGTTTGTAGATTAATATCAGTATACATATAAATAAACAATAAACCGAATAAAAATTAAATAATATAACTAATTTCATAAAAAATTTCTCATTATAAAAATGTAACAAGACATTTGTCTTGTTACGTTTAAATATATAAACTTTATATTATATTATTATATTATATAAACATTATATTATATAAACTTATACAAAAAAACTTTCTTTTGCTTAATTTTCTTTTTGCTTAGAGACGTTTTTTTTTTGTTAAACACGTGACAAACAAGAGATTTAAAAAAAAAAATTTTTTTGCTTAAAAAGTATAAAAAATTCACTAACTTTAAAATAATAGCATTTTCTATAAAAGCTTTGATCTTCAAAAAAATAATTAAAATTAATTATTTTTTTGAAGATCAAAGCTTTTATAGAAAATTAAAAGCTTTTATAGAAATGTAAAACAATAAAAAAATGGATGTATTTATCCTTGTTCGACGGAGCATATACCACAAGAGCAGATCTTCTTGTTTCATTCTACTTAACTTTTTATTTTGACAACAATCATTCAAAAAACAAACCATCTAGTTAGGCTATCAGTAAAGCTACAGCTTTACTGAAGGCCTTACAATTCTGTTCAAAAGTATGATTTTGTCTTGCATCCTCTATAAATTCAAGTTGGATGAGAATTTATATCCAAATTAATTCATGGTTCATAAACTGCTTTACTAATTGAATTAATAAACTAACCTTATCCAATAAAAAAACCTTTTGTCTTAATTGCTAAAAAAATGAAATTAATAAATTTTAAACTATCATACTAATTTATTGAGAATAATTTATCTGAACTATGATGTACTTGTGCTATCTTTTGCAAATGATGGTTTGTGATCAGATTCAAACCTTTAATTTAAAACACACAAATTGAGATCTGGTCAAGGCAAACACAAGTTAATTTAAAAAATAAAAAATCTCTTTACAAAGGTATTTATCTCTGCTTGAGAAAAAACTACAAATAATAATAATACTAATAAAAATAATAACTGCTTTACTTTGAAAAGAATCATAATTTATAAATAATTTCATCAAATTGTTTTTGGTGCATAAAAAAAAGCCATATAACTTGCAGATGAACAAAAAAGCGTTTTAAAAAAACATAAAGTAAAAGTAAGCTAACTTAAAAACATCTAAAAAATTCTGTGCCTTGTGATTTTAAAATCAGAATAACTAGAAAATAATTTGGAAGTTGAGTAATATTTATCACAATAAAAATTATTTATACAATTATTATTACGACAATATCAGAATAAATATATAGTAAAATTAAATCTATCCTCTACTTATTTATAATATATTTTAGAACATTATATTTGTTAGATCAGTAACTTTGTTTTATTTTTATTTTTTATAACTACTACAATTTAACTTTCTTGTAGCTTAGTAAACTGAAATGGTGAGCTCTTAAACTGTGTATAAAATACAGGTTTGATTGTAAACTACTTTGATTGTAAATTAGATAACTTAAGAACACCAAAATTAGTTTGTTTTAGCAGCAAAGAAGTACAAAATAATTAATTTTCTGACCGCCTAATGAAAACGAATATTTGCTTTTGTTAGTTTTTGGATTAAAGATGAACTATTTAAGTTAAGTGAATCCAATCAATTACAAAGGCAAATTTATACCATTTTCAAAAGAGCAATTAGAGATCTGTCACAAAATGAATTAAAATCTGGCTTACTTTGTGACATCATTTTTCAGATCTGCAAACACATTAGCAAAGAAAATTTAAAAAAGTTATTTTTGACCAAGACCTGGCTTATTTCATTTACTAGATAATGAAAGCAGATGCTGAATAAAAGAATATCAAAATTCAGCTCATAAAAAAGGAAAGCAAAACCGCCTACAAAAAGCAATGAAGATGGACTGACACACCTAGATTTATTCCAGATTGATTAATTAAATAAAGAAATAACTCCAAACAAAATTCCAAATGGTTTCAAAGATATGATTATTCAAACTTTGTCCTAAATAGTTTAGTTAAAGTTGTTACAAAGAACTGGAGAGGTTTTTTCATAACCAAAAAAAAAAAAACATGGTCAAACTAACTTAAATTTGTAAGTTATAAAACATTTATGAAACATGAACAATTATAAAATGAAAGGCAAAATAAGGTAGTACTTGTAAGTGCTTAATACACAGAAGTTGCTGTTTAATAATTTTTGGAAAATTTTCCTACTTAACCTAAATTTATTAGGACCTCCTCCCCATATTTATTAATTTTTACTCAAGAATGTGAAGCTCCAAAAAGGACTGCAGTTTAAAAGACACAAAAAGAGTACTTCTTTCTAGTTTTTAGTATCCAGGAGCTCTAAAAATATAAAAAAGCATATGGTCTTCTAATAAATTAAAATTTAAAAGTTTTTGAACCTTGAATCCTAAGGCATAATGGCAGCAAAGACTCTGTGACTTTGAGCTCAAAAACAATAAGTTTCAATTCATTAAATCTTATGAATTTTTTTCTTTTTTGTGGATCATAAGTCAACCAACATGTTTAAAGCTTCTGGACACCAGAGACCAGGACAAAATAGAAGTATAAAGAAAAAATAGAACATATTAAAATAAAAACCAACATTTTTTTATTGATCAACGTTTGCCACTGGCCAATAGAGAAAAAAAAAATTTATTATTCACTAAACTAATTTTGTCAAAACTTATTTAGTATAGTAATAAAAATTCAATAAAATAACTAGAAACATTGAATAAAAAA